TCGGGTGCCCCCAGCCGCCCGGGTTTCTCCGCCCCGCTGCACGGCTGCACGGGCTCCTGCCGATCACTCCTGAGCTTTAACCCCTGGGTGCTGGCCAAGGCCGACCTGCCCTTCCTCACTCCGCTCAGGCCACCACGGGATTTCTGTGAAATGGAAAGTGAAACACGACAAGTTCAATGAACTGCTGCAGTTTTAATTCTGGGGAGTTTATATGCGTCTTGGACTGTTGCATGCATAGCTGCCCCATTACTTTTATTTGAAACACACACATTAGTGAAGGAAAGAATGATGGGAAAAATCTGCCAGACGTTTACTCCCCTGCTTTCTGGGTGCCGTTAGGTATTACGGAGGTGACAGAACTCACTCTGTGACCTTGGGTATGTCACCCCGTGTGCTCTTTTATGTGCATGGCATTGTTCAAGTGTTGGCTTGTGATTACTTGTTAGAAGTGAAAAAATTACAACTGGAAAAGTGGGTTAGTAGTAGTTGTCTTTGGTCATGTGATCCACTGTGGTAGGAAAGTTCTTGGAAAGATAAATCAACCTGGTGGGAAATCTAGAACCCAGGAGCAAGTTAGACTTTGCTCTCACAGAATTATTTTATGCAGCTTAAATATTCCTCATACTTCTCTTTAAATGTCATGCTTGGGGTTACAAATTTTAGAAGCTTATCTTTTCATGAAATGCATCAGTTACATAACTGAAATTAAGTTTTATTAAAAGAGCTACATTTTCCTGTGTGCCTGTTTTTTATGACACATATATTTATGTACTGTAGTGCTCTGTTAGCTACAGGAAGGCCATACCAGTTTAGGAAACATTTTTAGTGGAAAAGGTTTGCTGAAGATATTATGAGAGATTTCTTTTCTCTTCATCTGTAAATAATTTTAAAGTTATTGTGGAGCCATTTTCTCTAATAATCTAAGTCAAAACAGTGCTTTAAAAAGTATGATTTGGCCCTAGCCAGTTTGGCTCAGTGGATAGAGCATGGGCCTGCAGGCTAAAGGGTCCCAGGTTCAATTCTGGTCAAGGGCATATGACTGGGTTGTGGGCTTGATCCCCAGTGGGGGGCGTACAGGAGGCAGCCGATCAATGATTTTCTCTCATCATTGATGTTTCTATTTCTCTCTCTCCCTTCCTCTCTGAAATCAATAAAATATATAAAAGGATTTGAGTTCCCTTTTTGTAGTTCACTTTAATTTTGAATACTATGAAACTTTTTGTTAGTATTGCTTAACATTTCTTAAACTGAGCTCTCAATTTCTCTACCCATTCATTCCAAGGCCTTCCGCATCTCAGTAAATGGCAGCATTTACCCAGGTGCTCAACCCAAAATTTAGGAGACATCCTTAATTCCTCCCCCTCCTTATTCTCCAGATCTAATCTATCAACCTAATTTCCCTTTACCTCCAAAGATATTGAGCCATTTCACTCACCTAGCCTAGTCTTTAGCAGTAGCCTCTCACCTGATGCCCCTCTTCCACTTTGGTCACTCTGTAGTCCAGTGGTTCTCAACCTTGGCTGCACATTAGAATCACCTGGGAATCTTTTTAAAATCCTGATTTCTGGGCCTCATCATTAGTAACAGAATTTCCGGAGGATGAGGCCCAGAAATCAGAATTTTAAAAAGATTCCCAAGTGATTCTAATGTGCAGCCAAGGTTGAGAACCACTGCTGTAATCCGTTCTCCACCTCACTGCCAAGTGATCCTTGTAAAATGTAAATCACCCAGCTTGAAACATACTAATGGCTTCCCTTTGCACTTGATATAAATTCAAGCTCCTTGTTGTAGCCTGTAAGCCTTACCTGTTCTTGTCTCTGCATCTCTCTCTGACTTCAGGACCATGTACCTCTTCCTCCTCCCCATTCTCTAAGCACCAACCACTCTAACCTTCATTCCTTTCTGTCCCTTGAGTCAAGTTATTTCATATCTCCTTGTCATTTAGGTTTTGCTCACATGTCACCATCTCAGAGAAGCCTTCTGGCCTCCCATTTAAAGTACTCTCCCAGGCTCCCTTTAGCCCACCATTTTCTTTTCATTTTTCATAGCATTCATCCTAACCTGACATTATTTTGCTTGTTTATTATTTTCTGACTTTTCAGTCTTCTTTAGCCCTATGAGGATAGAAACTACTTTAGTCTATTTATTTCTCTGTCCTCAGCATCTGAAACAGTGCCTGATATATAGTAGATACAGCATATACAGGGTGGGGCAAAAGTAGGTTTACAGTTATGAGTCCAGGAAACAATTTATTCTTGTATTACATATTCATTATTGAATTATTTCCCATATGAACAACTGTAAACTTACTTTGCCCTGCCCTGTATATTTGTGGATGAATGAACTATTTATAAAATAATCTGTTGATTTCAGTTACTGCTATATCATCTCAATTTCTGGTGAAGGTTTCAAGGAGTTCAGAGTGACCAGTTTAGCAGGAAGTAAAATGAAGAGGGCAGAAAACCTAGCAAAACTAGAATTACTATAAATCAGCCATTGGCTGTATTTTTAGAATAATATTTACTAAGAAGCTCTATATAAAATGTTTTCCCTTAAAACAATGTTATATGCCAACATAAATAGATCTGAACATACTCTTTTATTCTTCTGTAAAAGTATTGGGTGATAGTAGGTGGTAAGTAGTAAATTATGTTTCATGTTTAATTAATTGCCTGAGAGTTTACTTAGAGGACTTAAATTCTTTAGCTAAATTCTAAAACTATTCTAAGTTTTTCCAAAGAAGATTTTAGAAGTCACTTCATTTCTAATTTAGCAGCCTAGATAATTTTGTGTTTTTAATGACTTTTTTTTCCAGAGGAGACATTCTGAATATTTATGCACAGTTTTGAAGTACCATAATTAAAGAACACAGCCAAAGTAAAGAACTGAAACTGTATCTATAAGATCAAAAATTTTTAATATACTTTTAGACCAAGATGGATTTACATAGTTTAGGGACATTTCCATTTAACTTTTGACTGCTTGGTCTAATCAGAAGATGAAAATAATTCATTTGTGTTTTGATACTTTTAAATCTGTATAGAAAAAGTAAATTTCTCAAGATGCACCATTAAGTATCTGAATTGTAAAGAAGGTCAAACTATTGAGAGTCACAACTATGAATCTGACTTTTATAAAATTGCCTGATGCAATCTAGATCCTTATTCATATTTTACTTCATCATAATGGAGTTTTCTTCTGTCCCACTGCTTATTCCCATTAAAGTATTTGGAGTTATTTATATTGTAAACTGGACATTTTCATTTTTATATACACCTTAGATACGTTTTTAGTGGTATCTTTTTTCTAATCAGTTTTATAAGTAATTGAAATAGTGATAATTTATTACTAAGGTATTCATATATATATATATATGTATGTATAGTTATAGATATAAATGTTGTTTTTTAATGTTTTTACTGACTTTTTAGAGAGAGGATGGGAGAGGGAGAGAGATAGAAACATCAATGATAGACACATCGATCGGCTGCCTCCTGCATGCTCCCTATTGGAGATCGAGCCTGCAACCTGGGCATGTGCCCTGACTGGGAATTAAACCCTGACCTCCTGGTTCTTAGGTCAACACTCAACCATTGAACCATACCGGCTGGGCTAGATGTTGTTTTGCATTTTAGTGAATTGCCTAATAGATTGATTTAAGTGCTCTGGACTTAATAGTGGTATCAGTCCCTGGGTTCTAATCTGAAAGAAACTAGCAAATACTTCTAGATATTGATAAGGCCTCCCTATACCTTGTGGTATATAGGTAATCCATCATATGTGAGCGAAACAGTTCTAATTCTGTTGCCTGACTTAGGCAATCAGGCCACATATTAATATAAAGATTGCCTGTAAGGAACATGAGGGTGCTATTTTTATAGATTTGCAAGTTACTTTTATTGAAGAGGAAACTAAAATATTTTTTAAATTTGTGGGGTTTTTTTGCCCTCTCTACAGAGTATATTCATTTTAGATGAATGGTTAATGTTTACAGTGGTCATCTATGAACTTTGGTCTGCAAAGATTTATTCCACCATTAACCTGAATCACCACCCAATTAAGGCATTATTAACTACTCTTTCAACTGGGCAAATAAATACACATTATTCTTCCAGTTATTTTTTATTGGTAAATGTTTTAACCACATTGAAATATAATAAAATTCAAATTATAATGAGCACTCACTTTATTTTTTCTTGAAACAAAAACAGGTAATTTTTCACCAGTGACTTTTACTCAATTTGATGGAAATTTGTGATAATACCTCTTTATATTTTGAAGCTTATAAGGGTTTGATGTATTGCATAGGCATTTCTTTCACAACTCAGAAGTAATTTGAGCAAAAGGAAAGACTACAAAACAAAATTTTTTTTGCTGCTGCTGCTGCTTTTGCTTTCATTCAGGTTTTCAGTGTCACTGTGAAGACCAGAAGAGGTCATTCTCATTATCTCATTATACAGATGAAGAAGTAGAGTCCTGGGAAATCATGACTGTTGACTTATCAAACACACTACATTTAGATAGTAATAGGACCAAATTTTGCTTTCAGCTCATTCTTTTATATCGTGTATGTGCGCTCCCCGGCCCCCCTTAGGCAGCTACATCTCTCTTCCCTTGAATGAAAACTGTTCCCTGAGATCAAATAAGATACCTGTCTTTGTACTGTACCAGGTGTGCAGCATAGAGACCTTTTACTTCCTTAAGTTCATCTGCTTGTTTATAAAATTTAATACTCTCTTGTGGTTTTGAATTTAAGATACTGAACTATTAAAAGTATCTTAAGTATTTCTTATTTTTTATTTTTAGAGCCAGGAAAAGGAGCTGATCAATTGCAAATAAGCATAATTTCTCTGGTTTTAAATAATTTCAAGCCCTTTCCTTTGTGATTTATCGTCTATTCTTCTCATGTTTTCTGACTCAAGTATTTCTCTTTTATAGGTTACTCACTATAAACAATACCCACCCAACACAAGCAAAGTTTATTCCTACTTTGAATGCCGTGAAAAGAAGACAGAAAACTCCAAAATAAGGAAGGTGAAATACGAGGAAACAGTATTTTATGGGTTGCAGTACATTCTTAATAAGTACTTAAAAGGTATTATTTGTCCTATAAATTTAAAACAATGCTTTTACATAAAACTTCATAATTTTTCTCCTCTTTTATATTCTAGAGGCCCAGTGCATGAAATTTGTGCACGGGGGTGGGGGTGGTCCCTCAGCCTGGCCTACACCCTCTCCAATCTGGGACCCCTTGGGGGATGTCCGACTGCCGGTTTAGGCCCAATCCCTATGGGGTCGGGCCTAAACCGGCAGTCAAACATCCCTCTCACAATCTGGGACTGCCTGCCTGCCCCTAGCCGCTTCTGCCTGCCAGCCTGATTGCCCCCTAACCACTCCCCTGCCGGCCTGATTGATGCCTAACTGCTCCCCTGCCGGCCTGATCGCACCCAACTGCCCTCCCCTGCCGGCCTGATCGCACCCAACTGCCCTCCCCTGCCGGCCTGATCGCACCCAACTGCCCTCCCCTGCCGGCCTGATCGCACCCAACTGCCCTCCCCTGCCGGCCTGATTGCCCACAACTGCCCTCCCCTGCTGGCCTGTTTGCCTCCAACTGCCCTCCCCTTCCGGCCATCTTGTGGTGGCCATCTTGTGATGATGTGAGTGCAGCCATCTTGTGATGATGTCACGCGAAGGAGTGATGCCACCTAAGCTTTTATTTTATAGGATTATCTGAAGTAGCATTTTGAATAGTTTAATTTTGATATTTATTTAATTGCTTTAACTACTTTAGGAGTCTTGGAATTTAAAAAACCTTAGAATAATATTTACTAATATTATTAGTAATATATTAAATCTTATAATTTTGTGTGTGCTGGTGTTCTCAATATAAGGAAGATTTTCTGAAACTAATAAGTTTGGGAATACGTCTAGAAAAGTCATTAAATGGGGTCTGGTGGGGGCAGGCAAAGGAGGGGGTATGGGGACATCTGTAATAGTGTCAACAATAAAAATAAAGTTAAAAAAAAAATTTTAAGTCACTGATTTTCCGAGGCAAATCTGGTTTGTTAATAGACTTTAGTCATTAATTCAAAATGAAGGATTTATTATTGGCCTGGGAACTCATTTTGAATTGTGGTAGCAATTATAATTAGAATATTTTTATGCTAGTCAGTTTTACCTTAAAGTCTTATTTTTCAAAACTATCTCTATGAACTTAGTCTCAAATGCATATTAAAGCAGAAAAATCTCCCAAATAATTTCTTTGCCTTTTTACTTGAAAGTCCATTTCTAGTCAGTTTTGTAATTTTATTTCTAGGAGGCAAAACAGTACCCAAGGGTTTTATATATTTTGGAAAATTTCATCTCTAGCCTTTTCAAATAAAAAATAATCTTAAAATTGAATACAGATTAAGTTGAATTTTTATTTAATATCCTTTTTCCGTAATCTTGGCAATTTTAAGATTAGACTGTTCAGATATGTTATACTACTGAAAACCTACTTGGTATCCAAAGTACTTCTTTTGCAGCAAGACCTCCCAGGATATTTTAAATGAGTTTACTAGTGATCTTACATTGAGAAAGTTACCAAAAGACTGATGTCACACTTCAATTCTACAGGTTAAAAACTTCATATTAGTTATTATAGCAAAAATATATTGATTTCCTGTTATAAGCCAGCATTATTCTAATTGCTTCGTATGTTATAACTCATTCAGTCCTCACGACTTATAAGTAGGTACCCTACTATTTTTTATCCTCATTTTACAGATAAAGAAAATTTAAAGTATATTTGGGGGGCAAAATGTAGTAATTGTGAAAATTATTGGATTATCAGCCCTGAAGATATCTTTTAAGAATAAAGTAAGAAGGTTCACCTAGAAAATCATCTGTACAAAAGCTTACTCTCAAATTTGGAGGGTGTAGAAATTAATAGAGCTAGAAAAGATATCTTCTTAGAAGTTAATTTTAGTATTGTGATTTAAAAAAATACTATACATGTTATAATTTCTTCTGCACATTTACTTTTCAAATAAGAAATCAACACACTTAGACTGAGTGATTAAAAGTGCAAATTCAGCCTGGCTGGTGTGCTCAGTGGTTGAGCATAGACCTATCAACCAGGAGGTCATGGTTCCATTCCCGGTGTGCGGGTTTGATCCCCAGTATGTGGTGTGCAGGAGGCAGCCAATTAATGATTCTCATCATTGATGTTTCTATCTATCTCTCTTCCTCTCTGAAATCAATCAATCAACATATATACAAAAGTGCAAATTCATTTTCTGGCTTTGCTGTTGAATCTGGATGAGTTATTTGACCTCTCAGTTCTTGTTTTTTTATCCATAGAATGGGTGAAAAGTCTACAGACATTAATCTTGTGACAGCTCAACAGTTCACAGAATGTCTTTTGAAATGTAAACAAGAAACGTTTATCTTTTTAGGTAAAGTAGTGACCAAAGAGAAGATCCAGGAAGCCAAAGAGGTGTACAAAGAGCATTTCCAAGATGATGTATTTAATGAAAAGGGATGGAACTACATTCTTGAGGTAAAAACTGGTTTCATGTTTTGGTCTATTTTGGTTTTACATTTACTTCAAAATTTCTTGTAAAGGAGTTTGAATAGAAGATTAGACTAGGGTAACAGTTAAACTTTTTTTCTGGTTGCCAATCATTAGTGTCTAGTAGACTCTACAGCAAGTCTAATTTGTTATAATATAAATGAACTATAATTTAAATAACTTTTTTTTTAAGAAAGGTGATTTAACCCTTTCTTTGAAAATACACTAATTTTAAAAGGGCGTGGTTAGTTGGCAATTTCAAAATTTAGGTCTATTTTCTTGATTATAGGTTATCTAAGAAAGTAGATGCTGTGAATCTATCACTACACAATAATTCTAGGAAATTTCCCTTACTGAATAGTTAAAATGGTTTGGTGCAGATCCATGAAGTTGAATTTTATTCTTTGTCTGTACTGTAATATATCTAGCATGTTTGGAACCATTACTTAAACTTTGGGTATCCAGAGACATGGAAATTAAGTTAACGTCCTTTGGTGTTTGCTTATTTTTTATTACAAAGATAGATTGGGAATGGCATCTATTGGCATCTTGTTATGTTAAGTATTAGTTAACTAATTTGCATCTTAAAAGTGTATATATTTTTCATTATAGACTATTAAACACAAAATAATTAGAAATATTTTAACTTTCATGCCTATCTGGTAATAATCAAATTTTACTTTTTGTTACTTATGAATCTTTGAAGAAGTCAGGTAAGCACTCTTTACTGTAGTTTTTCCATATTTAAGTAAAATCTGTTGGGTAACTCCTAAACTTACCCCATTTGTTTTTTTGTGAGTATAATCTTAATAGATAAGTTAGGTACTATGCTTATTAATACAACTTCCAGTGGCCAGGATGATAAATCTTTTGATTTTATGTTCAGAGAATTTTAGGGATTCATAGGTTCTCTAGAGATAATCTTATCTAACCCTATTTTATAAGGAAAGTCTGAGACTTGCCCAAGATCTCCTACCTGCTTTTGAAGTCAAGCCAAGACTTCTAAGGCAGTATTCTTTCTGCTATATCTTGAGGCCCTCAGTGCTTCTCATTAAACAGATTTTTTTTAAATATATTTTTATTTCGCCCTAACCGGTTTGGCTCAGTGGATAGAGCGTCAGCCTGCAGACTCAAGGGTCCCAGGTTCGATTCTGGTCAAGGGCATGTACCTTGGTTGCGCGCACATCCCCAGTAGGGGATGTGCATGAGGCAGCTGATTGATGTTTCTAACTCTCTATCCTTCTCTCTTCCTCTCTGTAAAAAATCAATAAAATATATTTTAAAAAATAATAATAAAATAAAAATAAAATATATTTTTATTTCAGAGAGGAAGGGAGAGAGAGAGAAAATAGAAACATCAATGATGAGAGAGAATCATTGATCAGCTGCTTCTGCACACCCCCCCCACTAGAGACCAAGTCTGCAATCCGGGCATGTGCCCTGACCAGGAATAGACCTGTGACCTCCTGGTTTATAGGTTGACGTTCAACCACTGAGCAACACCAGCCAGGCTAAACAGATTTTTAAAAAATATATTTTAGAATATAAATTAAGCTGGTATTGCTTCTTGACCTTTTGAATTTTTTAGAGAGAGAGGAAGAAAAGGAGAGAGATAGAGAGATAGAAACATCGATGAGAGAGGAAGATCATTGATCAGCTGCCTCCTGCATGCTCCCTGACAGGGGACTGAGCCTGCAACCTGGGCATGTGCCCTGACCAGGAATTGAACCGGTGGCCTCTTGGTTCCTGGCTCAATGCTCAACCACTAAGCTATATTGCCGGGCTAAACAGATTTTTAAAATTCTAGTTACCTTGTCCCAAATCACATAAATAAACTTAGATATCTGAAACAACTTCCCTTCCTATCCAAAAGTTAGCCACAACTTTTAGCTTTAAAAGTAGGGAGGCATAATTAAATATCTAGTAACATCCTATGTAGCACATATATTCTCAGCCTAATTTTGGAGAGAATTGTTGCACTTTTGATATTGATAGCCAAAGCTCTAGAAAGTATACTATCTACTACCAAAACAGTTTCAGCTCTACACCAGAATAAAGAGAAAACCTATTTAAGGTTCTTCTACTGGCAGGGATCTCTCTCTGTTTTCTTTCTTTTTTCTGTGTGTGTGTGTGTGTGTGTGTGTGTTACTTTGCTTCTTTATTTTATTTTGCTCTTTAATAACGTTCCCTTATTTCATCTTTCTGTCTTTAGCCTTTCTTTTATTGAAAATGACCTACTTAGAAGAAAAATCATGTTTTTGGAATATGTTGGAATTCTTTTTTTTGTTTTGTTTTGAAAGAATGAAGGGAAAACAACACTTCTTACGAATTTGAAATTATCTGTATCTTTTAATAATAAATGTTTGTAGCAACATGAAATTTAAAAATTGATATCAGTGCCTAAGCTGTTAGCTAATTTCATTTCAGGAGAATAGGGATATTCTGACTATCTTACTAACATTATAACACCTATAATTGTAGTTTCTATTACAAATAAGTTTAGCTTCTGTAAACTGTAAAGAACCTTATTATAAAAACAGGTAACTGCATATCATCAGTTGAATGAAATGAATTCATTATTGTCTCTTACCAGAAATACGATGGGCATCTTCCAATAGAAGTAAAAGCTGTTCCTGAGGGCTCTGTCATTCCCAGAGGAAATGTTCTCTTCACAGTGGAAAACACAGATCCAGAGTGTTATTGGCTTACAAATTGGGTTGAGGTAAATTGTTTTGTTTTTAATTCTTATTTACATTAATTGAAGACGTAAAAACCATTCAATTGGGATTCTAGTTTAAAAATTGCTACTAATAAGGTGATGTCACCTCCTACAATTTAATAAACCTTTACAATTCTCAATTTCCTCACCTATAAAATGACATTTAGACTAAATAATCTTTAAGGTTCCTTGCAGTGAAATCTAATGTTCTGAGATTTTATCTAAATCAAATTATTAAGAATTATTTCTGTTAAAGCTCAGCTAGCTTCCATCTTATTTGTTGCAATCCTAAGAAAAATTAGAACAGCACAGGTATATTTTTAATGATTTAAGGCATTTTTTTGGAAATTCTGTTTCAATTAAACTAAGGCATTTTTGTTCAAATTTTTAATAACTGCTTTCTCTATTCTTATCTAATTAGTTAAGGGCCTAGGCCAGGGGTGGGCAAACTTTTTGACTCGAGGGCCACAGTGGGTTCTTAAACTGGACGGGAGGGCTGGAACAAAAGCATGGATGGAGTGTTTGTGTGAACTAATATAAATTCAAAGTAAACATCATTACATAAAAGGGTACGGTCTTTTTTTTTTTTTTTTTAGTTTTATTCATTTCAAAAGGGCTGGATCCGGCCCGCGGGCCGTAGTTTGCCCACGGCTGGTCTAGGCTCTACCTCCTGATATTTCTCATCTAACTACATTCAAGATTCACTGATTATTTTATTTGATTTCTGAGCCTAAAAGGAGGCTACATTATGGGCTCTGAGTTTATATTACAAAGTTTTTTGTTTGTTTTCCTTGTATCTATTCCTAAGTAATCATATTTTTTCACATGCTTATAGTTTTGATATTAATAATCCTACTTACCTCCTCACAGCTTAATTTACACTTGATCTTAGCTAAAAGGCCAAGAAGCAATACCAGCTTAACTTACATTTTATCTATAAAAGGAAATATTCTGGAAGGTGACTATAGAAATACCATATTTATTTTTGAGAGGTTATTACTTAGTGCTTAGAACTGATTCTTTATCTTATTAGTTTATTGGTTAAACTAATTTGTTGTTACATAGTAAAATACATATGAGGTTCATTTATAAAAACTAGAGAAGTAACACATCTAAGAATGTTTGAAATTCATTTTTTGCTAACATTTTGCTAAACGAATTTTGCTAAATTTAAAACTTTCATATCAGATTCTTAATGAGCTATCAACTAATAATAGACTAATGGGCTCAAAAAATGTTCAATTAACTAAAATGCAAGTTTTAAATAGTTCACTGCTATGTCTTAAAACTTTGAATTAATGAACTCAAAGTAAAAGAACATTTATCTCCTTATTAGTTTTGTATAATTGTTATAGTATTTGTACTGGCAAATATTTTATTTTAAGGTGATAGTATTGTGAAAACACAACAGTGGAGGAGTTCTTAATCACATAATCTAGTCATTTTACCTTCAATGATGCCAAAAGATCCTAAATAGATAAATCTTATTGTGAAAATCATCATCTGTGGATAACCTTTTCTCAGTTTTTTTTCTTTCTGGTTTCCTGATTGAGGATTTAATCAATAAGTACTATTCCCTTATGTTTAATTGAACTTCCATAAAGCAGATATTTATGGACTTCATGTACGTTTTTATTCTCTTCACAAAGTGAAAAAACATAGCCTTAAAAAAATAAACTTGTTTTAATAATCATTATTGTTTTGGGTTATTTCACTAAAAAAACATAAAGTAAAAAATTTATATATAGACATCTTAGAGCACTAGTTTGTTAGCAAATATATAAATATTTTAAATTTAACAATTATTAAATGTAAAATCCAATATGAGACTTAGATTTTGAAGAAAAAGTACATAGTTCCTTGTTTTTATTTGCTTATAACCTGAAATAAATCAAGTTTATCTTCTATCCTAATATATATTACTAGAGGCCCAGTGCACGAATTTGTGCACCAGTGGGGTCCCTTGGCCTGACCTGCAGGATCAGGCTGAAACCGGCTCTCCAACATCCCCCGAGGGGTCCCGGATTGCGAGAGGGCACAGGCTAGGCCGAGGAACCCCACCGGTGCATGATCGGGGCCAGGGAGGGACTGGGGCTGGGGAGGGATCACAGGAGGGCTCCAGGGCATGTCCGGCCCATCTCACTCAGTCCCAATTGGCCAGCCTCCAGCAGCAAACTAACCTCCCGGTCGGAGCGTCTCCCTCCTGGTGGTCAGTGCATGTCATAGCGACTGGTTGACCAGTTGACGGTCTGCCTCCTGGTGGTCAATGCATGTCATAGCGACTGGTTGACCAGTCGACGGTCTGCCCCCTGGTGGTCAGTGCACGTCATAGCAAGCGGTTGAGCGGCCTGAGCATATCATTAGCATATTATGCTTTGATTGGTGGAATGGACGACTGGACACTTAGCATATTAGGTTTTTATTATATATAGGATTTTAAATAATTTTAGGTATTTTTATCTAGGCACAAAAAACATGGTCTGACAGTCCCTTATTGTAGTTTCTGATTGATCCATGCTTTAAAAAACAATGTGTTTACTCTCAATAACAGGTCTCTAGAAGAGACTTTTTCATGGTAACTCCGCATTCTTTTTGGGCTTTTATGTAGGGTTAGAGGAGGTTCATCCTATTTTTACTCATCCCTAACCCAAGTTTACCACCTTGTATATGAAATATGTTACCAAATTCAATAAACCTTTTATTTGTAAATTGAAGATTTTCAGGTAATTCTTGATTTAGAATATTTAAAATAATAGTACTAAATAGGGCTCCTTCCAATTTATGTTCAAAGCTATTAATAACATTCTTCCATTGTTATTAACCATACACTGTTATTCCCCATATACTGACCTTTAAAACCCACTAAAATTATTGAATTGCTTTATCAGTTTCAATATTAGTGCTAGAAGAAATTTTAGTCCTCAGATCAAATTTTAAAACATTTAAGAGGGGACTCTCAGACTTCGGAGGGACTAAGGATTGAACATATTAGGCTAAACTTAACTGTCTCTTTCAACCAGAAAAACAAAACAAAACCTTTTGCTGTTAAAAGATGACTTGAAAAATCATTACATTAATCAAATAGCCCTCATTTTACAGATGGGGAAATTGCGCCCTGAGAGTTGAATGGACTATTACACTAGAGTAGGTTTAGTCCCCTTTCTGTTATAACACACCATTTTTCATTCTTTAAAATTCTTTATCCTGCACAGTAACATTATAATAAACACATCTTAAGTGAAATTTGCAGGTTCATTTACTTTAGTCTTAGTTTTCAGCTGAAAATTTAACCTTGATTTGTGTGGGCAAATTGCTGTTTTGGAAAAGTTCCAAAAAGGCCTACTTTATTAGACCTTGGATTAACCCAAACTAACTTGCCTTTTTTTTCCCTTGCTTACACCTACAGTGATCTTTTTTAAAGGGGACTGATTTTATTAAGAGTATAATTTAAGCTGATTTTGTTGGACTATGGAAAGGAAATGGTGATGTGAAGGATCACTGTGTCTGATAGTTATTTCCTTCCTTCCCTGGCATTTTTCGAGGGGTAAGGTCAATCTTCTACCTTTATAACTCAACTAGAGTCGTTCACATTGTTTTATCTTTCTCATACTCCTAGATAATACCAATCTAAGTTAAATTAAAATGTGAGAGTTAATTGAATTAAATCAACAGATGAACATTGATTACCAGCTATGTACAAAAAAAATGGTGGGCACAGAAATTAGAGTAAGTAAAGGGCCTTTGGGGGAGGAGCAATTCATCTTAACTAACCACTAACATAAGAAAGAATACTAAATTGGTAGCAGAAAAATAGGTAATCCCATCTAAGGAATCTGAAATAGAAAAAATAAATAAGCTTTAATAAGGGAGAGGGAGAGCTGAGGAAATGACACAGTATTTTTAGAATGGCAAATAGCTCAAAGGGGAGCACTGCAGTGGGAAATATAGTAGGAGATCAACAAGACAAGATTATAGGAATCCCAATTTCTGTATGAATTGGTGTGTTTCCCCTATGGACAGTAGTTAAAGGAATGACACAACCTAAATAAAACTTTTGCTTTAGAATGATAACCAGTGGTATGAAAAGTAAGTCAGAGAAGCAAAAAGAGTGGATAGAGATTAGAGGTGATTGGTTATAGAGTTTAAATTAGTTTTCTAATGTTACTTAACAAACTACCACAAAATAAAATAGCTATTCACATGATTCTGTGGTTGACTAGATGGTTCTCTGCTGCTCTCTCTTGGACTTTTGTGTCTGTATTGAGTTAAGGGTTCAGCTAGGACTGGGCAGTCTAAATGGCCTCACTCCCATGTCTAGGGCCTCATTGAGATAGCAGGGACTGCTGAGCTTCAATAACTTCGGCTCCTTCACAACATTGTAGTCTCCAGGATCTAGGGGAATGAGTGCTGTTAAACCTCTTGAAACAGTACCTTGAAAGTCATACAGTATGGCTTATACCACATTCTGTTGGTTAAAAGCAAATTAAAAGGACAGCCCAGAATCAAAGGATGAAGAAACAGATCCCATCTCTTGAAAGGAGCTGCAAAGATTTGGGGCCACATTAATCAGTCATAGAAGTCTAATGCTACAGTTTTTTGTTTTTTCTTTTTAGGTGACCGAGGGGAAGTCCAAGGTTAAATGATCTTTTGTTTTTATTTTATTTATTGATCACTTAACTGGTATCAATAAGAGCTAGTTTTGTAAAATTTTATTCATTAAATAGCCTTTTTTTTTTTTTCATTAACACGTTAAGTGCCATGTCAGTCACTGATGTGGCCAGCATATCAGTGAATCGGATATCACAGGCTAAACGGAAAGGAAGACAAAACAGGCTTGGCACTTAATGTGTTAAATAGCTTTTTGATTGAGCTCAGACGTTGTCATCTTAGGTCTTTCTAAAACAGATTTGAGGCTGCTTCTAATAATAGACTCTCTGGTTTATAAAATAAAAATGGAAAATTATGATACTATTATGGAGAAGGAATGAATTCCCAAGCCATAATAATTGATATGGTTGCCATGATTAAGCATCAGACTTAAGAGTTTCCTGGCAGCCAAGGAAAAAAAAGAAACCAAGGTACAGTTCTTATAAGAAATTAGGAACCTTGCAATTCTTCCTTGTCCTCATTTGGGAATTTATATAATAGGTATAAGTTAAAAATAGACAGTGGCCTCACAGTTTTATAACATATGCAGAAATGTTTCATGTGGCCTTCTATAATGACTTTTGATAAAAGCCAAGGGCATAAAGCATAACTTTAGTGAATAAAATTCTCTAGTGCTACGCAAAAGTATTTCAAATATATAACCTACCAATAGTCATATTAGATCCAAGGAAAAATTAAATCCAAGTCGACCTAGAGGAGTAAATGAATAACCTTAGGCCCATACTATTCAAGGTATAGTCCATGGACCAGTGCTGGTCCATGAATTATTTGATGCAGGTTCACATTAAATACAGAAATTAAGGATAAGCATTTAGAAACTTTTATGATAATTGCCCCACCAATCAAGTGTGTGTGTATCTCATAAATAATTGCTCCATGACAGATTGAAAATCTTTTTAAAAGTTGGTCCTTCATCACAGTCTATTACTTGCTTCTTTGGAGCTTTGGAGAGAAATGTGACATTCTCAACTGTTAAGGGCCTGGTGTGCTTTCTCTTCGTGTTGCTGATTTGAGAGCCGAGCTATGCACTGTATCTGGAATGCTCATGTTAGCAATCTGTTACACAGTTGAAATGTCTAAATTGCATTTCCGGTAGTATGGAAGTCCAGAACATACCTCCGGAGAAAGCTAGGATTTTCCTCAGAAAGAACCCAATATTTTATGTATTAATATTTGTGGTTAATTTTATTACTGCAGACTATTCTTGTTCAGTCCTGGTATCCAATCACTGTGGCCACAAATTCTAGAGAGCAGAAGAAAATATTGGCCAAATATTTATTAGAAACATCTGGTAACTTAGTTGGTCTGGAATACAAGTTGCATGATTTTGGCTACAGAGGAGTCTCTTCCCAAGAGGTAAGAAACTGAAATGAACCTCATTGAATAAAATGTAGATTGTCAATAGATTACCATTATAAGCATTCTAGGAAGTTATGGGATCAGTGTTGGTTCTACATAGGCAACATTTTGAAGTTCCAGAGATTTAGTCAACAGATTAAGTACCTACTGTATGTTAGACTCTGTTCAAAGTACATGGAAGATAGCCTTCAAATAATGTTTCCATCCTTTATATATTAGATGGATGGGTAGGTGGACTGATAGACAGACAGACATAATAAATATAGCAGATGCCAGATAATGCTACAGAGAAGCATTAGGCAGAGTAAGGAAAAAGAGTGATGGGAAATGGGGGTAGGCCCTATTAAATACTCTTTGAGAAGGTAACAGTTGAATCCTTAAGTACTAAAAAAAACTGGATGTTTGTCATATAACTATTATCTCTGATAATAAATACCTTTCTAAGAATAATGGAAGACAATAATTCTTTGGGAGCTATGTCAAGTATGGGTCTTTTTCTTTTTTGGATTTTGGTTCATGGTTTATTTTCCAGACTGCTGGCATAGGAGCATCTGCTCATTTGGTTAACTTCAAAGGAACAGATACAGTAGCAGGAATTGCTTTAATTAAAAAATACTATGGAACGAAAGATCCTGTTCCAGGCTATTCTATTCCAGCGGCAGAACACAGGTAAAATTGTTTCCATTCTTTTATTATCTAAACATTTATTTTCTATAATTACTAAGTTTTCTCTCTTGTATTTGTAATTTAGTGATGTTTTGCTTAGTTACAAAGCCATGTATTCCAGTAAATCTTCATGAACTAAAGCAATACAAATTTATTATTGATACTTTGTGTAAAGACTAGTATCAGGGACCTAGAGAACTTTTAACCATTCTAATAGAAACAATATAAGAGCTTTTTAAACTGCTATACAGTGGGGCCTTGACTTAGGAGTTTAATTCGTTCCGAGACCGAGCTCGTTAACTCAAATTACTCTATCAACTCAGTGCAAAAAATCGGCGGAGAGACAGCTGGTATCTCAAAAAGTCGTTAGTCGGGACACTCATAAATCAAGGCCCCACTGTATTGCCATATAGGTGGGCTGTGTGTGTTTTTTTAAGGACTTTTTCAACTGCTCTGTTGCATATGCAGATGGATTTTTATGTATTGTATTACATCTACTCACTGTAAAACCTGGTCACTTTTTCCCCTCTCCCTGCTCTACATGACCTCCAGCTATATTTGCCATGGAAATTGTCATTTGGAGCCGGTATCCTCAATTGTAGAAGAGCTAGTAAGCTCTTTTGATGAAAGGAAGAGAGTTCAGATTCTTCTTACGCTTCCTTATGTGATCTTACTAAACCATCTGAAGTTGAACTAGAAGGCAATTATAATCTAGGCAGCAGCTGCTCTGATCCTAGAGTTAACTTGTTTTTAAAACAGGTCGAACCTTATCTGGTTCTTTTAATAAAATGTATTTACTCTTTGAGGTGGTTTCTTAAGTCCTACTTAAACTTGAATATTTCAGGGTGCCAAAACCAGTAGTAAGTTTAGGATAAACTGAGCTTTTATTTTTTTTATTTTTTTTTAAATATATTTTATTGGTTTTCTACAGAGAGGAAGGGAGAGGGATAGAGAGCCAGAAATGTCGATGAGAGAAAGATCGATCAGCTGCCTCCTGCACACTCCCCACTGGGGATGTGCCCTTAACCAAGGTACATGCCCTCAACCGGAATCGACCCTGGGACCTTTGAGTCCACAGGCTGACGCTCTATCCACTGAGCCAAACCGGTTAGGGCTAAACTGAGCTTTTAAAAAAATAGTTGATATTTATTAAGCACTTGTTTTATATGATGCAAAAGGTGAGATTGTTATAAAGGCAATCTACTGAGTGCTATGAGGAATAGAAAGATAAAATACTAACTCTGTCTTTAGGGTAAAATAGTACACTAGCAACATTTAGCCCTGTTGATTAAGTGTTTTTAAAGAGGTATAATTAAAGTGCTCTAGTGGTGCAAGGGAAGGAAAGGAAGGATTGCATTCCACTGGCAGGGTCAAAAAAGGTTTTATAGAGATGGGATGTGAAATCTTGACTTTTTGAAGGAATGGTAACATTTAATGGCAGTCATGGGGATCACTCATTCTCTAAGTGAATATTTACTGCTTACCCATCATGTGTCAGGCATTGTCCTAAAAGAACAAGAATGAAAGAGGAGACAATGTGTTTAGGGAATCAGAGGTAAAATATAGAAACAGTAGGGAACATAGGGTAAACTGGGAAGACAGGTTAGTGAAGGCCCTCAGATTTTCGAGTGGAAGTGGACATTGAAGTTTTTTAGCAAAGAAGTGATGTCAGAGAATTATTATAGAAACATTATTTTGTTAACAGGTTATCTTCTGATATGGAAAAGAGAAACGAAAAGGTAGGAGGCTATCGTAAAGCTATTGCAGCAGTTTTGAGAGATGACAAGGTTCAAAATCAAGTGTCTAAATAAATGGAAAGATGCAGCTAAACATGAGCAATGGCTTGGGAAATGAAATTGCCAGAACTTAATGATTGGAATTGGGACCACGTAGAGAGTAGATTCAACTAACATTTATGAGAATAGCTGTATTAGTAGGGCCTTATTGAATGTCACATTTAAGACTAGTGAAACTGGGAAAATTTATCAACAGATAATGGTTTTAGGGTTACAGTATTTTTATTTCAGACTTAGATGTATGTACAGCTTTTAAAACTTAATGTAGTATCCATGTATTAGACTCTTAACTAGTGGTTTTATGGTACTATAAATCTGAGAATAAAGATAGTATCTTCTTTAGGGCTTTCATGATAAAAAGGTAAAAATCCATTTACTTTAAAGTCACATAATACTACATTTGTAAGTGTTCGATTCCTTAATGTAGAAGGGTGTCCTTAAATAGACAAGTCTTAAACAACAGCATAGTATAGTGAATAGAACTTTATAGCTGACACCTTGGGTGGCCTTGGGCAAGGCATTTACCTCTCTGTTTTTCAGTTCATCCAACCAAATAAAAGGAGGAGCTAAAATTTTACATCTTTAATATCAGAAAGTCATTGAGAATAAATAAGCTAACATCTAAAATAATTTTAAAATAAGAGAACTCTAAATTTTATAGCACCACCATTCTTATAAATATTTTCTTAAAGAATATATGAACCTGGATTTAGAAATATTCAGTTATATAACTTTTCCCTCAAACTTTGGAAAGTTATCTAATTTGATACTGGAAATTGGAATATTGGCATGAGTAGAATTCATTGAATAAATATTATGATCTCCATAAATACTGACTTACGAGTTTAATTCATTCCGAGACCAAGCTCGTTAAGGAGCTCGTTAACTCAAATTACTCTATCAACTCAATGCAAAAAATCAGCCGAGAGACAGCTGGTATCTCAAAAAACTCGTTAGTCGGGACACTCGTAAGTCAAGGCCCCACTGTACTGGTATTCTTTGTTCTTAATTGTCTCTCTTTTATAGGGGACAGTAGCAATTCTTGATATGAAGAAGGGGCTTTTTTTCATCATGTCCTAATTTTCCCATAGCCTGCAGTTGCTTGAGTGAGTTAGAGAGTTAGCAGCATAGCTACTGGTAGCCTTTATAGTTTAGAAGAGTGTTCACTATATAAATAGACTATCTTTCCATTTCAGACAAGAGTAGTCTCTCTGATCCTGAATTGTACATACTCTGCTATCCCCAGCATACCATTGACAGCACGGGAAAAGTTGGCTACTCTAATCCTTTAGAAAAAAAGGAAAAATAAAATGACAATTTCAAACCTAAATTCGTATGACTCTTCAAAAAGTTTTGAGATAAATGTTTACCTACGTGGGGTTTTATAGTGAATGAGTTGTCTTATTTTTCATTATTTTACTTACAAAAAATGGGGTAGAGGCAAAGACTAGAAAATTAGGGAAGAAAAATTGCTTGGCATGAGAAAATGGCAATTTTCAAATTCATTCTAAGAATTTTAAAAATTATATACAGGAGTGGACAAAAGTAGGTTTACAGTTGCGAGTACTCAAAACAGTTTATCCTTGTATTATTTATTAATTGTTATATTTATTATTTAAAAATTTATTATTGTTATTATTAACCTACTTTTGCCCACCCCTATATTAGGAAACCAACAGGTTCTTAAATTATATAATATTAATCTATTCAATAAGAAGAACCATTATTGAGGACATTGTAAAAATCACTTATAGAAACTCTCACACTTTATTTTCCACCTAAATTATGTTTTGCTCAAACTAAATATTAAAATTCTTATTCCCTGGATATATGTTAATTAGTGGATAACCTATAAATGAAATAAATGACAATTACTAGCCATGAAGATATAACAAGAGTTAGTTGACTGTATGTATCTACAGTATAGTTTAAGTAATTGCCTTTAAGTGTAAGAATTTGAAAGGTGAAAAAGATAAAATATATGCCTACTATTATTGGTACATGGTTTTGAAAATTCACATGAGGGAGCCAAGTGTTTACATTGCCTAACAAATGGTGGGAGCATGTGTTCATTCTTTCTAACATCTTGACATAACAAATAAAGTGCATTTAGTAAGTGCTTTATAGTTCACTAAGTTTAAATACCCCCAAAAAAAGTTCAATAGGACTTGAAAGCTAAAATAATTACTGGAGAGGAGTGATATTACTTTAAGTCTTTAAAAAAATTATATGAGGGGTGGTTTGGCTGAGCTATTCAGTTAACCCTCTGGTGTGCATTCATTAAACTAAATCACTCACTTTTTCTGCAGTGTTGATGATATAGTATAGTAATCATGAGATATGATTCAGGAATAGGTAATGTGTCTGCCTGAGTAAATCTGTATTTTCATTTTGTTTTCTAGTACCATAACAGCTTGGGGGAAAGACCATGAAAAAGATGCTTTTGAACATATAGTAACACAGTTTTCATCAGTGCCTGTATCTGTGGTCAGCGATAGTTATGACATTTATAATGCGTGTGAGAAAATATGGGGTGAAGATCTAAGACATTTAATAGTATCAAGAAGTTCAGAGGCACCACTAATAATCAGACCTGATTCTGGAAATCCTCTTGACACTGTATTAAAGGTAAATTTTAATACATAACTTGATTATTAAAATACTATCGACCAGCTGCATCAACACTACTTTCATTTATTTTTTTAAATATATTTTATTGATTTTTTACAGAGAGGAAGGGAGAGGGATAGAGAGTTAGAAACATCAATGAGAGAGAAACATCGATCAGCTGCCTCCTGCACACGCCCTACTGGGTATGTGCCCGCAACCAAGGTACATGCCCTTGACCGGAATCAAACCTGGGACCCTTGCATCCGCAGGCCGACGCTCTATCCACTGAGCCAAACCAGTTAGGGCAACACTACTTTTAATTACATTTATACACGTACCATTTCAGAGTTATCTTACCTCTTACTTTAGAGTTGCAGCCCAGAGAGAGTAATAGATTTGCCCAAGGTCACACAATAACAGAAAGGATACCCTTAGTTATGGATTATTTATATATACTGTCAAATAAACAATTAAGTACTGTTGATATTTTCTGCTTACTTTCAAAATTAATTGATAGCATTACCATTTTAACGAATCCTGTCATTTGGTTACCAAGTTTATGGTTTGTTGCTATAACTTTGAAATTCTTAGTGCAAAAGAAACATGTGCAAGGTGAGGTGGTAAAAAAATATTAGAAATACTTTTCAAGTAGCAGTACTTGAAAATATTTCAATCATCAACGTAGCAGTATTGTCTGTGTTTAGTGTTCAGGACTTGGTTTGCCTTCTTTGAAAAGTACTAACTAAGAGCAGGTTATTTGATCCCTCCTACTAGAAAAATACTGTGTTAGATGCTTTACTTAAGCTTTGTCACTTAATCTCTATGAAAACTCTGATAAATACTACATTCTCTTTTTTTATAGACAGACAGATTTAGATAGAGAGGTTAAAGTAACTTGCTCAAGGTCACACAACATGTAAAATAAGCCAAGTATCCATTGTCACCTTCTCACTTTACCACAGTTTCCCATCTAATAATTAGATGATAAAATACCCCTTAAGAAAGGGGGATATAGAATCAAGGAAGTCTTTTCCTATCCTATTAATAATGGGCCAATCTTAAAGTCTTATCTTAGCCTGAAATATTTACAGATCTGGTTTTAGCAAACTTAACAGGTTTCATGTTTTACCTGTTACCTAATAAAAAAATGTGTAGACGTAGTTTTAAAAATAACCTAACTCATCAATATGGAATCTATGCATTGTTAGAATCTTAAATCAGTTTATTTGGGAAAAGGGAATGATTGTTGCAGAGAAAAATTCTCTGATAGGTCTTTTGAATCTCTGGCCAAGCTTTCTGATAGGTCTTTTGAATCTCTGGCCAAACTTTCAAAGTTAAATCAATGTTTAGGTATTTTAGCTGCTATAAAACTTTTAGTAGTTAATGAATGAGTGGTATGATTCACATATTATGCAATTTGGCTTAAAAAATGGGTGTCATCTTTAAGTGAGGGGAACTTCAGGGAAACTGGGTTATATGAGTTTCATTTCCAGCTTTGCCTGCATATCATATTTCTCTGAACTTTGTAATTCAAATAGATTTATATTTGTTTTGTCAAAATTAAATCAAAACTATTGGGCACAAGCAGAATAAATGAAAATCAAAAGTATAATCATGATAAGTGGTGTTTTATATACCTTTTAAAACTATTATTGTATTTACTGTTTTAAGCTCCTAATGATAAGATGTTTGGGGTAGGTTCTTTTCCTGAATCTATATAATTTGAGAGAAGGAAAATCTTATGGTTTGAGCCACTTTACTGTATAAAATGACTTGATAGAAAATATGTTTTATGTCTATAACATAAAAGGAATTGAGACTAAATTTTAGAAGGTTTATGCATAGTGTTGTAAAATTTTTTAAGTAAGTTGATTATATTCTCAAGATTGTCTAGCAAAGCAAAGTCACTAACTTTGGAAAGCTTTTACACTTGTTTTTCATTTTCACTTTTAGTTATTTTTTTGTTGGGTATTTTTCTATACAGGTTTTGGATATTTTAGGTAAGAAATTTCCTATTACTGAGAACTCAAAGGGCTACAAGTTGCTGCCACCTTATCTTCGAGTTATTCAAGGGGATGGAGTAGATATTAATACCTTACAAGAGGTATGTGTTTATACTAAGTGTTCCAATAAGGTAATAATAATTAAGTTCCTTTTTATTAGTTTGATAAACACATAATTTCAGCACAATTGTGATTCTTTTCATAAGTGTTTATAATAATATATACTGTATGTCTTTTCTGTTAATTGCTTAAATTTTATAAATAATAGTAACCATTTGTACGACATCAGCGTCTATAGACACAAGCGGCGGACCTTTTTTAATTAAATTCAAAATGTCATGGCAGTTAACTGGTTAAGGTATAAATGTACCAATGAAACCTCATTTATATTCCTAGTCCTCAATGGCCACCCTGGATGATGAACCTAAAGAAATATCACTGCCCTGGCTGGTATGCTCAGCAGTGGTTAGAGTGTCGGCCCTCAAGCACTAATGGGTCACAGGTTCTATTCCCAGTCAAGGGCAGGTACTTGGGTTGCAGGTTCACACCATGCCTCTGCTTGGGGCACATGTGGGAGGCAACCAATTCATGTGTTTCTCTCACGCCAATGTTTCTTTCTCTCTTCCCCCATCTCTCCCTTTCACTCTTTGAAAGCAATGGAAAAAAATATCCTCAGGTGAAGATTAACAAAAAAGAAGAAAGAAAAATATCATTAAGAAACAAGAAATTGCCAGTCAAGGAATGTTTCTTGTATTAAAACAAGTCTTGACACTGCTCATATAGGTCCCAGTTTTAATAGGATGGAGCTTCACATACTCTAACAATGTGAAACACAAATGGTATTAATATGTGCTTTTTCAAAATTATAAAATGGTTTGTTAGCTCTTCTAAATTAAGCCTCAACTGTTAACACTATTTTTGTTAGATTTAGCAACATAGTGCATTACATTAAAACTTTTGCTTCTTTTATTCTCAAATAAGCTCCTAAAGAGCTATAATTTCATAAAATATACTCCATAAAACTTAAGGATATCACCAATTTCATAATATGGACTGTCTGCCATTGTAGCCACTGACATTTTAATGTATATCAATCTCCAGTGGCATCCACTTGTCTAACACAAGTTATCAAAGATTTTTCTGTTTGAAAGAGTTTGGTGTGTGGTTAGAGTGAGATCAGTACCCAAATTATAGTTTTCCAAAGGTTCACTTAAAAGTAAGAACTACTGAATATAACAAAACAGTATTTCTGTGGTAATGTGCATTTAATGTTCCAAAAGGAGGTATCTGAAATAGATTTCTTGGAATAACAGAAATGAGGTTTCTTCCACCAACTCTCCCAAACTGCTTTGCCTAAGAAAAGTGGAAACTCCCCCAAACTCCCCTAAGACATTTGATGTTGGGACATTAGGAGCTTTCATGTGAAAGAGAAGGAAGAAAAGTTTGCAGTGAGGAGGAGGATTATAGAAATCCCAGCTGTCATATGTAGTTGCTGTTGTCTCCTTAGCTCAGCTGAATTAAAGGTTTCTTATCTGGGTATCAGTTAAGAACTATTACCCAATTCCTGCATTTTAGGTAGTTTAGCAGATATCTTTATTCCCCTTTCAGATGAAGAAACATGGACAGGGTTCTGTACCAGTTTCAGAAACCCCATTGTATTGTGTTCTTCCCACTGCTTATATCTGCCCTTCCTTATTCTGATAGTTAGCTCTTTAAGTTGGTTTGTTCAATCCAACTTGTTATTTTGACTTCCTTTAAAAAACTGAAGCTCTTGGCTTTTCTTTCTTTGCCCTTTTTAACTATGAACAAGGAGTCAGATATTGAGACAAATACTCTTTTGCATTGGTGAAACTTTCAACAGAATGATCAGAGAATGAAGTTTGTGTAATGCGAATGTACTCATGTGTTGATTTACCTAAAGGGTGACAGCTGCTTTCTTCATATTGGAGGTGGGTCAAATAAGTTTTTAGAAAGAGGCCGAAACCGGTTTGGCTCAGTGGATAGAGCGTCGGCCTGCGGACTGAAAGGTCCCAGGTTCGATTCTGGTCAAGGGCATGTACCTGGGTTGCGGGCACATCCCCAGTAGGAGATGTGCAGGAGGCAGCTGATCGATGTTTCTCTCTCATCGATGTTTCTAACTGTCTATCTCTCTCCCTTCCTCTCTGTAAAAAATCAATAAAATATATATAAAAAAAAAGTTTTTAGAAAGAGAAAGAATAATCCATCTAGTGGTTTTGCTTTGTATATGTACTAAATTAGATGCCTAATTTTGACAAAATGAAAAATCTGTTTAATTTCAAACAACTGGCTTTTATTGACTATCAGCCTCACTTTCTGTACGGTTACTCACCATCAGTCTTCCCCATGAAGTTTACAATGTTAAGCATGTCCTAGTTTGTGTGTACCAAAATCAATCTGCTTATTTACAAAAGAGGCAAAATTCTCCTGTGTTGGACAAAACAGATTGTCTTCTCTGTTTGTATCTCATTTAGCTGTTCAGTTATCTTGATTATCATGGAGACCTTTCTATTGGAGTAGTTCATTAATGATGTTAAAATGATACCAAATTCTCAAAATTGGTAAGAAGATTTCTTTGCAAATGAAGTCCCACATAGTTGAAACACTTCTTTCACTGTAACTATCCTACTGTTCTTTCCCTAGGACCCTTTTCTCTTCCATTCTAGAAAATTTCCCTTGACCCTCATAACTTTGGTCCAGAGACTAAACAGAGGATTGATATAAATCTTAATGATAGGAGCACATTAATTTTTTATCTAAATACCATGGGCATAAAATAGGAAATGAAGAGTAGTGTCTAACAGTTAAATTTTGTCAGTTTATGTCTAGTCAGATTTCCTTCTGCTTGACTGTATGTGTAAATATTTTTAAGTAGTATTTTTTCCCTAATTCTGTAATTTCCTGTACTCTTAACAGAATGATTCACTTAAATTTTTAACTCCAAATTTTCTAAATTTTATAACTTCTGGTGCAGCTGTATGGGAAGAATATCTTAAAGTAACTGAGCCAGAAATACAGATACTGTGTGATTACTGTTCTTTGTAATTTCTTCATTCTTACGCTTCTGAGGCATATCTAAAATCATGTGACAGGTCTGAAACAATTTTCTCTATTTTTTCTTGTTAATCCTGACTCGATATTTTTCCCATTGATTTTCTAGAGAGTGGGAGGGAGGGAGGGAGAGGGAGAGAGAAACAGAAACATCAATGTGAGAGACACATTGATTGGTTGCCTCCCGTATGCCAGGGATTGAACCTGCAACCCAGGTACATGGCCTTGATCTGGAATGGAACTCAAGACCTTTGGGTGCTCTGGCCAGTGCTCTAACCACTGCTCACTGGCTAGGGTGATGCGTTTTTAACTGAACCACCTTATCCTCCATCTATCTGTTTCTTTTCTATTCGTTGCATTTCTCCCATATTGAAATTCACTCTTTTGGAATATGTCTTAATTTTGTATTATTTTATAAGGATTTTATTATTGTTTTAGTTATACTTTGTTCACAGTTATTTTAATGAAAAATCTGAATCCAGAACCTTTGGATACTGTTGGGTTCTGATATAGTAATTCATGAGACTGAGTTTATGTATAGCCTAAGGAATCATTTTAAAATAAATTGTGTATGTTTTCATAGTGATTCCTGACATATAGCAGTAGAATTTGATGGTTGGGATTTAAGGAAAAAGTCTGCCTTTTTAAATGTGAGATTGTTAAAAGTTGAAGGTCCTTAGAGTTTATATACTTTTATCATTCAGAGTTGAAAATAATAGATGTCAGATCAAGACTCTTATTATTTGAGGGGAATGTGGCGAATTTATATTAATGATTTACATAAAACTATTAACTTTGCTTATGGTTTTCTAATCGTTTCTGAAAGTTCTATTTCAGTAAAATGGAACCAGATTTTCCAATACTTCCTTTTGACTCATCTCATGAAATTAAATTGCACTTGCACCCTTCTATCACAAATAGACATGCTAGGTAAATAAATCCTACTTGGGAAAAAGAAATATAAATGACAATAATAATGTAGCTTAGTAAATTAATATAACTTTAAAATTATGTGTCACTTGAAAAAACTACTTTAGCTGCCAGAACTATATGTTCATTCAGGTCTCTCTGGCTTGTAGATCATCATTCTGCCAAAAGTGATCTAATGATAAATGAATGCCTAGTCCAGTGATTCCCAAAGTGGGCGCTACTGCCCCCTGGTAGGCACTGCAGCGATCCAGAGGGGCGGTGATGGCCGCAGGTGCATTTAGGGGCGATGAGTAACTGCTATTAAAATTTAAAAAAAATTAATTTCCAGGGGCTGAGTAATATTTTTTCTGGAAAGGGGGCGGTAGGCCAAATAAGTTTGGGAACCACTGGCCTAGTCTATTCATAATTTTGCTTAGGGCACTGGAGTTCTAGCCAGAGTAAAATGACTCTGCCAATGTCTGAATGATATGTAGGAGAGAGTATTTTATATTGTTTTACCACCAATATCTGTTGCTTTATTTAAATGCCCCATTAGATATGATATGCATTATGACATGTGATAACGTATTGAGATTTATTAGGAGTGATTAGTCATTCCTAGAGTGTAGAAATTCGGGCAAATGTCTAGGTCCCATTGCTTGTGCTACTGGTATCTGGGCAACAACTACAGGAGACAGATAAGTTTTCTCAAGTAACCTTTTCAATAGCATGTATAGCCAATTTTTTCTCTCATTTCCCCAACCCTTACCACAGTTACAATGATGACAACAACACAAATTCAGGGACTATGAATGAAATCCATTCCTTCCACACTTATCCCTCAGTTTGTCCTTTTTGGGGTAGATGGGGCTTTTAAAAGAAAATGTGGGATATAGTTTTGTATAGGCCTACTCTTAATTTCATCATTCGCTATGTTATAATACAACTTTAGGATGCTTTATTCATCAACATGACTCATGGAAAATTACCTCATTTCTTTTCCAATTTACTTAGTTTTTGTTTTTATTTTTTAATATTCTAGGTTGTAGAAGGCATGAAGCAAAAAAAATGGAGTATTGAAAATATTGCCTTTGGTTCTGGTGGAGCTTTGCTACAAAAATTAACAAGAGATCTCTTGAATTGTTCCTTTAAGTGTAGTTATGTTGTAACCAATGGCCTTGGGGTATGTCCTTTAACTTTTACTCCTGTGTTAGTACCTTCTTTATGTATCTAGGTAGAATGCAGTTATTGAATGCAATAATAAAGGATAATAATGGTCCTGAAGTCTTAATATATTATCAGTTATTACTGACTCTGGCTGAAAAAAAAGGAAAGAGACATTAGATAATAACAAGACCAGAAAAAATAAGATGAGATTAAAAGATAATGCAGGTCAGTCATTTTCCACTGCTTCTGTATATAACTTTGAATCAAAAAGTTGACCATATTTGATCTGGAACATCAACTAACCTAGCCATCTGTATATGAACGATAAGCATGTAAACACTATCAAAGTATTTTAGGAAAGTAGAGTATGATACTGGAGTTGTGACACCAGAATCATGTTCTAGTAGCCTTAGAATAGGGAAACCCAGGCTGCTAGGCAACTGAACAACAATCCCCCTAGACCAGTGGTCGGCAAACTGGGGCCCCTTGAGTGTGGCTCTTCCACAAAATACCACATGCGGGCGCGCACATACAGTGCGATTGAAACTTCATGGCCGCACTGTGGCTCGCGAGCCACAGTTTGCCGGCCACTGCCCTAGGCTTCATAGCTCTTGAGAGTCTGTGGGTCAAAGGGTGAGGGTGGAGAATACTCTCCTAAGAACACCTGGTTAGGTCCCCTGCTTTATTTACCTCCATCTTTCTTTGGAGAGTTATGGGATTGACCCATCTGCTTCTTAGGTTTTGCCTCCTACCTTTCTGATCCTGAAACAAACATTCGGCTCTTGAGGTTCTCTAGATCATTTTTGCTTCTGACAGTAACAATATAATAGAGTAAAAAGTAACAAAATGTAAAGGTTATGAAATAGGAAAGCCATACTTAGTAAAATCCTAGTTCTGGAGCCACATATTATATAATTGAGTTGACGTAGATTTGTTTTTCAATAGCATGTCTGTGCTATACTTAGATCAGTATAAAGATAAGGTGTGATATAAAAGGAGATACCTTAAGGATCACATGTTAACATCAGATATTTCCTACAAAAGGAGTATTAGGTATTCTGCATTGGTAAGAAAAAATAGTCAAGATTTGGATTTTGCTTTTTTCCTAACAAAGAACTCACTCTGTCCTCCAAAACAGGCTAGAATTATGTTTCTAAAAGCCTGGTGTGGATTGGTTTCATTATACCTAAAAATTGCCTTAAAATTTATTTGCAAATTATGTATGTAGGGTTATTTTTTAATAGGAATTGAATGACCATTTCTGACGATTAATCTTTTTTCTTTCTGAATTTGGATTCAAGGTTAATGTCTTCAAGGACCCAGTTGCTGATCCCAACAAAAGGTCCAAGAAAGGTCGATTATCTTTACATAAAACACCAGCAGGAAATTTTGTTACACTTGAGGAAGGAAAAGGAGACCTTGAGGAATATGGTCATGTATGTATCTATGCTGATTGGATTTATTTTGCCCCCCCCCCTTTTTTCTGTTTTCCTTTTACCAGTAGTAGCTTGGCTCTCCTAATTAAGAAAGGAGGCTTTTATGTTGTATTTTAATTTTAAATTATCAGAACAGTTTTTTCTTGGAGGACAAAGTAGTTTTATTGTAAAATAAACAACAGTTGACTGATCCTACCAAAATAAGACGAAAAACAAAAAGTGGCTAGATCATAAATATGAGACTTGTACATATTGGGTGAAATATTTTGTAACATTTAAAAAGTAAAAGTGTTTCCAAATAGTGACCAGCAGGGTAGTTACTGCTGAGCTTCAACAAGCTGTGTTTTTTATCTTACTCTTACTGTCAATTAGCAGTCAATTTTTTCTGAAGAGGCGTATTAAGAATACTTTAAGGATATTATTATTACACTTCTCATAGCTATTTATATTATAGTAAACTTTGGTCATTTTAACAGAAAAAAGAAGGGCTTTTATTTTTTCCAAATTCTAAAATGCTAAAGATAATCCCATTTTAAAAAATAATAGAATCCAATTTAGATGGTTTTCTTTAGTCTCATTTGATTCTCAGGGCAACTCCATGGGCTAAAAAGGCAAATTATGTTATCTTAGTAGTGTAAAATGTGAAAACTACATGACTTGATTCAGATTACATAACGAATAAATGGTGAAACCTAGCCTTAACCAAGTTTTTTTGATTCAGGTCAACCAAATAGGAAAAATGTGTAGTATGCTTATGCTAAAGGAGTCCATATGATCTTTAACATACAAAAGTACATTTAAATTTGTGAACTCAAAAGTTATAAAATTTCTAATTCTTAATCCACTGGATTAAAAACATACTCATTTTTTTAGGGAAACTACTCATGAATACTTATATTTGCACAGAAAAGTTTATATTAAATATAAGCACACTAATTTAGTACTTGAGATTCATCATACCATATCTGATACTCTGCTTGTTACTTTTATGATTTTGAGCCAGAATGAAAAAACATTTTGTTACCTTTAATTAAAAAAATATGTTTCTAAACAAACTTTTAGAATTAGATTCCTTTATATAGCCTGTTAATACTGTCCTTTGAGTAGCCTTCACTTAACTCTTATAGCTACCAGGACTTTGCTGAATTACTGTAGACAGTCATAACTTATTTTTTTAAAGGCATCATCATAACTTATTTTTTAAAAGGCATTGATTAAGAGTATGTGAATTATATTCTAGAATATTTAAGGTAGTAATTAACTTAAAATTAAGCATTTTGATTTAAGAAGAAGAACCACCATTTCTTAATAGATTGTTTAACTTTATGGAAGATACAACTAGAGCAGTGTGATTTGAAACAACATAATGATGAAAATATTAGATAATGTTACGTATCACAATCTTAAGAATAGATGGAAAAGTTAAGCATGGTAGATTACTTACAGATTTTTAAAAGAGAAATTAGAGATAGATAATTCCTTAGTGAGACAGGAGTGGCTTTCCCAGACTCAAAAGGGAATTTAGTACTGATTTCTTAGTCTATCTTTGCTACCCTTGCTGGGATCAAATAGTTACTTGTATAAGTGACTTTTGGATATACACAAAATAAAAATCAAGTCACTGTGCATTAGCTAAGAAATAATAATTGTTTTTGTTTTTATTAAACTCCAAGCTTATGCATTTATTAACCTGGTGTTGAGCTTGTTGGGTAGGAACAAGGGAAGGTTTCCTTTGTTGCACTGTCAGTGGTAATTATCAACAGCCATCATTCTAGGCAATGCATCTTCCACCTGAAAAAAAAAAATGGGGCAACTAAGTGTTTTGGTTTATCCTTCAAGGTCAGCTTTTTTAAGAATGTAATATTTAGATCATTCCTTTTCATAAAAGTTAAATATTTCTACATAGCCATTTTAGATAGTGCCTTGCTGTCTGACTGCTCCACCAGCATCCTTTGTGTATAAAATTATTTCATAATTGAACACCATCAACATCTCTGTATTTGACTAGTCAGTCTAATTCATGAGCATGGCTTAAGTATTTTGCTTGAGAGTATAATCATTAAACTTTAGTATTGTTAAATTTGTGCAGGATCTTCTCCATACTGTCTTCAAGAATGGGAAGGTGACAAAAAGCTATTCATTTGATGAAGTAAGAAAAAATGCAAAGCTGAATATTGAACTGGAAGTAGCACCTCATTAGGCTTTGTTTTATGACTGGGTGTGTGTCCTTGCCTCTGTGTGTGCGTGTACATGCACGCACCTATACACCGGTGTGGGTGAGTGTGTGATACATAATGTTCATTGTACAGATGTGTGGGGTTTCTTTGTTTTATGATACATTACAGCCAAATTATTTGTTGGTTTATGGACATACTGCCCTTTCTTTTTTCTCCCCAGTGTTTAGGTGATTTTAATTAGGCAATGCACTTGACCACATAAAAGATTAATGCTAAAGTAAGCTTTTTAGGGCCCTTTGCCAATAGATAGTAATTTAATCTGGTATTGATCTTTTCTCAACAGAACTGAGAAACTTTTATATATAACTAAAGATCACATAAAACAGATTTGCATAAAGTTGTCATGATTGCTTTATGTTTATATTTAACTTGTATTTTTGTACAAACAAGATTGTGTACGATATATTTAATGTTTCAGTGATTTAACAGTCTTTCCAACTTTTCATGATTTTTATGAGCACAGACTTTCAAGAAAATACTTGAAGATAAATTACATTGCCTTTTGTCCATTAATCAGCAAATAAAACATGGCCTTAACAAAGTTGTTTGTGTTATTATACAATTTTAAAATTATGTCGGGACACACCCTATAGAATTACTCACCTCACTGCCCCTTGTAGAATATATATTAATCATTCTACATTAAAGAAAATAATGGTTCTTACTGGAATGTCTAGGCACTGTACAGTGATTATATATATTGGTCATTGTATTGTACCAGTGAAATGCCAAATTTGAAAGACCTGTACTGCAGTTTTATATGTCAGATATTGCCTGTGGCTATAATATGCACCTCAAGATTTTAAGGAGATAATGTTTTTAGAAAGGATTTCTGCTTCCTCTATAGAATATATACATAAATGTGAAATATTGACAAAAGTGGAAGTAGTGTATTTTAAAGTAATTACACATCTGAATTTATTTTTCCTATTCTATAGTTGATATGACTTAATACTGGAATGGGTAGTGAGTGTACTTATTTTAAACTTTTTGATTCTGTTATATTTTCATTAAGTTTTTTAAAAATTAAATTGAATATTAAATTGTATGGACATCATTTATTTTAAACTGAATTCCTAAATAAATAATATTCCAGCAAGTTCTTAAATGAAGATGAATTATCCCCAGTCAAAAGCATGATGACATGCGTTTAAATAGAAGAATCTTAACCAAAACAAGAAAATGGGCTAAATTCAAAGTATTCAGCATCAACATGTTATAGAGCAGCGGTTCTCAAACTGGGGGTCGAACGACCCTTTCACAGGGGTCGCCTAAGACCACCGGAAAACACATATATAATTACATATTGTTTTTGTGATTAATCACTATGTTTTAATTATGTTCAATTTGTAACAATGAAATTGGGGGTCACCACAACATGAGGAACTGTATTAAAGGGTCGCAGCATTAGGAAGGTTGAGAACCACTGTTCTAGAGTGATTAACTGCCAGACTCTGAGTCAGTCGTCACATCTGACTAGAGACCAACCATTTGTTTTGGTTGTTTTGTTTTGTTTTGTAGATGATTTGTTTATATTTAGGTCTGCTCTTTTAAGGCAGCGAGAGGTTGACAACTAAGGCCCACAGGCCACATTTGGACTGCTTTGTTGTTGTTGTTGTTAAATAACATCTTGTCTATGGCTGCCTTCCCAGACAGCAGCAGAAATTGAGTAGTTGCAATAGTGACCACATGGCCCAGAAACCTGAAATGTTTATCTGGCCCTTTAGGACTGTGCCTTCAATTTTAAGAGAAATGTTGACTTCAGGGAAGGTAGGAGGTTAAGTTGATAATGGAGTTTGTTTCTCATCCTTTCTTTTCTCATTTAAGAATCTGATTAAATGTGAAATTTTAAAAATTGAAAAGCCATAAATCTTCTTCCTGAACAATTACATGAGAAAGTATTTTATTAGTATTTTCTTAAAATAATCTAATGAGAGGTGAGTTACCTTTATTAAACATCTTTTATAACATTAAAAATATAGGATGATTCTAAACACTTGTTAAAGAGAATAATAAGTTTTATTCACTTTCAGTAAAAGTTTTCATCCTGTAATTTCTGGTAGAAAATAATTTTAAGATGATTTTTAAATGTATCTAAGTAAAGATTAGTAGTATTAAAAAGAACGCATCTTTTCACAAAATGTGCTCTAAGGGGCTTATAAAGAATTAAAAGAACTATATTACAGATAACTGATACCACCTGTAAGTTTGATTTAATTTGTTTAAACACTGGAATTGAACTAAAGGCAATATTTTTTTTGTACTGTGAATATCATCAATTTCAGAGTATCTAGATTCTAGAGGAATTTTAAGACTTTCAGAGAATGCTAAAATCTGTACATTTGGATATGGCCATAGATTGCGGGGTGGGATGATTAATTCTGTTCACTCTCACTCATTTGGAACTGATTAACCCTGAATTTCCATCAATAAGCACCACTCTGAATAACAATGGTTAGCATAGGTACCAGATAGAACTCTGCTGTGTTGCCCTTTAAATCAGCCTAACTGTTCCAGACAAAAGCAAGTGGCATGTATGGCTTTCCTTAAGTCATTAGATGTGCAGCTGACATCGGTTAATCCCTCTCAATTCATAATATAAAATATTTGTATTTTAAATAGAAGATAGGTGTTGTATATTAAGTCTCTTTATTTGTACTATATAGTTAAAGTGGTTTTCGTGATTATCCCTTATTTCCTTTATTGCAATAAACTGTTATAAAAAATATTTTATCATTTGGAAAACTAGAAAAAGGAAAAATGGCAAGGTATTTATTGTTCTGTTTGCCATAATTTAGAATTAAACACTTAAACAAGTATTTTGTAGTTTTACATTCCTTTTTAACCCATTCAGTGGAGAATGTCAGTTTTTCTCCAAAGCTGTATGTTAAGTCAATTCTAATATATGTATTCAGCATCATAGATAAACATTTCATAAACATGGAAATAAAGTTTAGCTCTATTAGTGAAATGTTAAACTTGATTGTGTGCTTCCAATAATGGCATATTTCCAGACTTGCCTTTTTAAGGTATTCCTTCAGTTCAAATAATTAGAGAATGAGAGGGAGAAGTGTCAAAGATGACTCCTATATTTTACTTTGTGCAACTACTAGTATATGAATGGTAATGCCTCTTACTAAGAGAGAACACTAGAAGGAGACCAGCTTTGCGGGGAGAGAAAGAGCACAATTCCTATACTAAGATTTAAGGTGCCCTTGAAACATTTAAATGAGGATACTAGGTAGCTCTGTATACACATGGTCTGGGGCACTCACCTATGGACTAGCCTCCACCCATTCAGATCTCTAGCCCAGACCTCTGAATTTCCCTACCTGTCTGCGATACATTGCCATCCAGATACCTACTCAAATGCAACAGATCCAAACATCATATTCCTCCTGATTGTCTGCCTCATTGGGGGGGGGTGGGGGGAGAAGGGGTTGACCACCCGCTGAGGTGAGACTTCCCTCTCCATTACCCAACACATGTAATCAACTTCACAGTTCTATTGATTTACCTACTAAATAATGTTATATCCTATTTCTCTCCAGCCCCCATTTCAGGCTCACTAATCTCTTTGTGAAGCAATATTTAAAGTAAGTAGATTTCCTATCCTCAGCCCCCTCTCCCTCCCACTCTGCTACCAGAGTATTGTAGCAAAATCTAGTCATTTCAGTGCCCTGCTTAAAGAATTTGGTGCTCCTCCTCTTAGCCGACTGGCTGACGCTCAGAATCCAGCCTAACCTACACAAACCTCCCTGATCTGGCCCATGCAGCACAGAGAGCCTCGTGTCTTGTCCTTCATTTTCTGTGCCAGCATCACTGACTTGCTCTGCCTCATCTACACACATGCACACAGACACACTGTACCATTTTCTCATTTCTCTGCCTTTGCTTATGCTGACCCCTCAGCCAGAATGCCTGCCTTTGGTAGCTCATTGTGATGACACCTCCAAGAAGCATTCTGCAGGCTCACTCTGCTATCCCCACCCCACATGCCCTTCCTCTGGCCTCCATAGGTACTGAGTGTATTTATAAAACAGCACTCACAGCCCATGGGTTTGTGTCCTATATAAGGCAGCAAAGGATGGTGTTTTATTCATCTGTGTCCCCTGAATTCAGCACAGAATAGACAGTCAAATGTTTGTTAATAAAATGTCCTTAAGATAAACACGTTTTGATACCCTCTATAATATATCCTGAACATTTTAGTAAGTATTTCAGAAGGGCAGAACATTTTACTAAGTGTGTTTAGAGATAGGTAACTTTCAAAGTATGTTCACATATTATCTTTTTGAAAAATCCTTACAATAAATTCATGAAGGTTGTTTCTTCAAAATATAGATTAGAAAACTAAGGTAGAAAGACAAATTATTTGCCTAAGATTGCCTTGTATGTAGTTCAGTGGTTCATAACTTTCCTTCAGTCTTAGACCTCTGAGAATTTGCTTAAAGCTATGTACCCTCTTCACAGATCAATTCTCATTTACAAATAAAACAATTTGCATAATACTTAAAGGGGCTGTTCCACAGACCACAAAGAACTCTAGGTAACTGCAGAGCAGATTCGAATTCATGCTTTCAAATGCTCTTCCCTCTCTATTTGAATGAGCTTCTAGTGGTGCTCTTGGGAATTTTAAGATTTTAATCGCCTTAAACGGTTTTTGAAATAAGGCAACGTAAATAAATATAATTTTAATTCAACTCTCAAGAGGTTCTATGGAATTCATTGATAAGGATCCCAGAATTGATGGCTATTTTAAATGGCATTTTTTACAGATGGAGAAATGGAAACTTAGGAAGTAAAATTAAGAAATCTGACCATGTGCTGTGAGAAGGTTAAAGAAATTCCAGGAATCTTCTGTGCAGTCCAGCAATATCAAACTTTTGACAAAAAAATGTCTATGTAGTTTTATGAGAAGATTTCTATTTTCAGATACGTAAGCAGGCTAGGTAATTCTGACCATGTTCCTACCTACTGAAAACAAAAATTAAATTTTAAAAGTATTGAACTAACAGGACAGTAAGAAATTACCAGGTCAAAATCCAAGTGAAAATGGGACTGAAGTGAGAACCAATCACTGCAGCTGCTTTTGTCCTGGACATTTACCAAACTTGGGGACTCTGACCTTTAATTTTTTTAAGGCCTGACAAGACATGGTAAACAAATAAAAAAATCCTCCTGCTATAAAGCACCCCTCTTCCCAAAGGACTACCCTCAGAATGATGATGAACCAGTGATCAGTAATAAACCCATCCCCACATCACTAGGGCAATGCAAGGAAAGTTGCTTTAGCTCTGGGCAGACCAAATTAGGAACAATACCAATAAGTCATTGCCACCCTGGCCTGGCTAGTGTGGCTCAGATGGTTGGAGTGGCATCCTATGCACCAGGGCTCTCATTTTTTACTGTTATTAGTTTCTACCATGAGCAATATTAAATTTATCTAGTAAGCTCTTATCTCTCGTCCTTCCTTCTCCTTCAGCATCTAATTTGAAATAATATTGTTTTATTCCCAGGTAATACCTATAAGGCAACCAGACCGCTGTACCGATTTTTAGGTAATTTCCACACAAAGGTGGATTATTGGCGCTAGATGAAAGGTAGATGAAAGGTAGACCTATTTTCTACAATGTCTCCAAGTTCCATCTTATTCTAACCACTTGTTTGCATGTAACTAACATTTTTCTATATCATGTTGGTTTTTTCTCTTTAATGCTCAGGAGCCCAGGTATAGGGGACAGTTAGGTTCAGGGCCTCAGGTCTGGTAGACTTAATCTATTTTTCATATACTCATCCTGTTTTCCCCCAGTTTTTGATAGTTGCACTCTATTACACTATTAAAACACAGCCATCACACACCATATTTACACATGTCCTCCTATATCATAAAAGGCTAATATGCAAACCAATCGAACGGTGGAACAACGTTGCTATGACGCATACTGACCACCAGGAGGCAGACGCTCAATGCAGGAGCTGCCCCTTGGTGGCCAGTGTGCTCCCACAGGAGGAACGCTGCTCAGCCAGAAGTCCTGAGCTAGGTTC